TAATCGCCTCCCAAAAGTCCCACCTCCAAATACCATCACCTTGGGGGTGAGGATTTCAACGTATTAATTTTGGGAGGAACATAAACCATAGCAAAGACTAACTAGCTTTATGCTTGTGATGACAGGTGCTATGTTCTGTCTCCAGATATTGTGTCTGACAAAGTAGTTTTTTCCAAAGTGAAGACAAAGGGGAACATGGAACATTCAACCACATCTAGCTGGTTAGAATGGTGGTGTGAATAAGCTGGAAAAAATCTTCCATAAGAGGGAGAAAGACAATGGAACTGAGAATTTTATTTTTTTATTTAACATACATTATGTATAATGTGTATAGATTAAGAGGGCCTCCTAAATGTTTCAGAAAAATGTGGAGGTCCTCAGACACATTACTAGGGCATGGAATGGAAATGTATTACCAGTGGGGAACAGTACATTGGCTGGATCTCATATTTCCATTACATTGCCACTAACTAGAAATCAAAAGAGATTTTTTTTTTCTTCCCACAAAAGAAAAGATCTTGGTTTAGGCCTTCCTCTAGTTTTCTCTCTACTCTCCAGTGATACTCTGAAAACTCTTCTTACAAGTGGACATTGCCTACATCATGAGGTGCATACTTACTATTGGGAAGTATGACATTATTATTTAACAATATGCAGGCATTTAGGGGCACAAGCTATATATAATTCATTTATTTTTACAAGTACAGCACTCCAGAGCTGTGTTACTCATAAATGGGGGGTGAGGCAATGTATGGTAGCAATAATAAACATAATAAAATAAAATAATAATAAACACGATATACAATAAACCCTCAAAATGCATTTGCTTAATCTATTAATAATCAAGTCTTAGGCAGCTAAATATAGGCAGTATAATTTGTAATCTTATAATAACTTGAGATTTTCTTTTCAGTTTCCTTCAGGTAACCACAATTTCCTGTGTAATTATGAATTTAGTAAGAAGGTTAATATATAATCAATTTTAAGCTTCTCTTGGCATTTTAATATAATGAATATTTTCTGAATACAAAGTAAAGTGGAAGAACACAGTGAGAAAGAAAATTAAAGGAGAGAGGAAGAAAATAATATTATCAACTTAAATCATAGCAAGTTATTACCTGTAAATAATACATGGCCTTGGATTGGGCATATAGCATCAAAATGCAAACATCCAGTAGTTGTTTGGTGTGCCAACTAAAGACAAACAATACTATCTGTTAATATTTGTCATTATTATATAATTTTTATGTATAATCAAACTTCAAGAATTTTTTTAAATTAAATAATAGCTGTGTACATTAATGCAATCATGGGGTACAGTGTGATGTTTTCATAAACAATTTGAAATATCTTCACGAAACTGGTTAACATAGCCTTCCTGTCTTTCTTAGAAACTTCAGGAATTAAAACAGACATTTTTATACTTTAGTAGCTGAGTACTACCTACATTAAGTAAAATTTAAAGTATGTGTACTAAAAAGTTATATTAAAATGTTTCCCATCTTTAGTCAATGGATAATGTCAGCCATTGCTAAAGTATGATAAGCATAATATATTTGTTTTATATGTTAGTTAAATTTTGATCCAGATAATAAAGTTAATAGTGTTTTTGATCTTAGGGTTTTGTTTGTTTGTTTGTTTTGTTTTTTTGAGACAGAGTCTCACTTTGTTGCCCTCAGTAGGGTGCTGTAGTGTCACAGCTCACAGCAACCTCCAACTCTTGGGCTTAACCAATTCTCTTGCCTCAGCCTCCTGAGTAGCTGGGACTACAGGTGCCTGCCACAATGCCTGGCTATTTTTTGTTGCAATACTCATTTTAGCTAGCTGGGACCAGGAACCCTCCACCCTCGGTACATGGGACCGGAGCCCTACCTACTGAGCCACAGGCGCTGCCCCTGATCTTAGGTCTTATTCAAATGTAAGTAAAAAGAGGCTTTCTTCTAATTTAATATTAACCCAGATACTAGGCCAAGTTCTAAAGATACAAGGCAGTGCCATTCTGGGTCTCTTAAGATGAGAAAACAGAAAATTAATAAAATTAGAATAATTAGATGAGTGCTTTATGAAGATATCAACAATATTATTATTTTACAATAAATGGAGGGGTAGAGCAGAAAGAGCTTAGGTATGCTATAGATAAAGAGTATTGCAAAGGTGTGCAAAGTGTGAAAGAGCATGCCATTTAGTTTTAGGGCACAGAGAGCTTGATGGAAAAAAAGCTGATGATTGGCAAGCTTGGCAGAGACAGATCATGAAAGAATCTTTTACAACATATGGGAAACTTTGGACCCCATCTCATATGAAAAAAGATGTTTCTGGCTATAGTATGAAGAATGGATTAGAAGAGAGGCTAGGTTAGGCTAGGATAGGGAAAAAAAAAAGATCTGTAATGGTGAAGGCATAATGACTCTAAAAACTAGGCATAACTAATTAAAAGCAAATAAAACCTTTAAAAGATTTCTAGATTCTGACATAGCATTTTTAATTTTAAAACAAAACAAAGCTAGCAGCTTTCCTGGGATAAAACCTTTTTCTGATTTCTGACATATCTTTCTCTTTATTAAGCTTTGAGGGACCAAAGTATCATATTTCTGTTAAGACCACATTTATTACCAAAATTTATGATCCTTGATATGTGTCTGGAGCTTCAAAATTCCTAAGTATTTTATCTTTGTAATAACTGTTTCAAATATGTAATGCAGATTTCATCATGCATAGTTTCAAATAGAAAGTGGGTAACTCTAAGGGAAAAAGCTACATTATCTGCTGTGGATGACCAGCAAACAAAAAAGCTAGGACTAGAATTCTGGTATAATGATTTATAATCCCAGGCTCCACCTTCCCCCACCTTCTTGTGCCTTTGCTAATTATTATCTCTAAATGTGAACATGAATAATCAGAGGTGTGCTGTTAAATGTTTAACAACTGACTCTGGGGTGGAAAGATGGAGATCTTGATTTGTAGCTTTTACCCATTTCCATGGTGTAAATATTCTCGCTATGGCTATGTTTACCAACTCAACGTCCCTCAACAGAGTTGGAAAGTGATGCACTTCAGTAGGACATTCTGGACACATCACTGTGCTTGAAATAGCATATATCAAATGCTGATTCCAAAATTTCATTAAATAAGGTTGATTTTTAAGGATTCTATTTTCTAACATGTCATACCTCTCAAATTTTTGTGAGTACTCAGTTGATTGCTTGGCATTTAATGTGTTCGGATAAATAAAGGCAGGTACTGAAATGATCTCTAAGGTACCAGACTTCACTTGCTTTTTGAATCTATAAATAGAAATAAATGAAGACTTATGATTGAATACTTAATTTACTAAAACAACAAATACTCAAAAATAATTTCCTGTTCACGTCCATGTATTTAATTTGAATTAATTCATATGTTTGATACATATCAACATCACAACATTAGTACATTGTAGCCAAAGTATTTCTTCCATAAACTAATGACATATCTAAAAATTAAAATATACAATATAAATTTATCTCCTCTTATAAAAATTATAAGTACTTTGAGTTTTTTTAAGTTTACAATTCAGATGCATACTTTGACATTCAAAATAATGGAACTGATTGGTTACGATAACAAAATAACTACAAGAGAGCAAGAACATTAGATCACTTTTTAAAGAAATATTAAATAATTTTGAATTTAATGAATCCTACTGAAAAGCAGTGGGATTCCTGAAACAAGACTACCACATCAAGCAAGGATTAAGTCTAACTCTTGTTCACAACTCACTGGAGGACTATGTATACTTTTATCACCTTTATTTTTAAAAGTTAGTACTGATAGACCAATAAGAACTTCACTAAATACATAAAATTTTGTTCACAAAAACTGCAACATAAATCTTATACCATCAAAGTAAAGGATGGGAGGCCAAGAAGAATATCCCAGGGAGAACATTTTAAATGGTTTCTTTAGGGATAGATAATATGATTTTAAATGAGATTTAAATTTAGACATTATATTATTTATTAAAATTTTAAAGGCTCAATAAAATGTTTGTTTTATCCTATGTAAAAATTAAAAAAGCAGGACTAAATTTTACATGCATAATCTCAATTATGTGCAAAAGGAGCAGTCCTTGCTTTGGGCAATTCCAAATGCATAAATTTCAGTTACTGTATTTTAGCTAAATAGTACAAATCTCCTCAACAACACTGTCAAATTTTTAGTCACCATGGTATATTAACTCTAAATAGTTGTGTAAAGTATGAACTTTGCCGTTAGCTCCTCAGTGTACAAATCACTGCATAACAAATGCACCTCATCAACAGTGGCTATTACATCACTTCTTTCAAAGTCGGCTGGCGACCGATCATTGTGCATCTGTTATTCAGTTCACTTGCAGAGCACAAAACAAGCGTTGCATTGCCTCATCTCCCAGTAATACATAAACTCACATGACATTTAACAAAAGTGGGTAATCAAAAAGGGAATTGGCTGATAGATGAAAGCACAGCAAGAGAACACTAGCAATGAATTTGGATGTGATTATTTTACAGGTGATCATGAGAATGCTGATACCTTTGCTATTTAACAGACTCTAGATATGCAACAAAGGGAACTTAGTGGAGGTGACCTTAAATGACCTAAATGAGGAAAATAGCTGTGGCAAAAAGTAGGGTACATAGGAAGTGCTCTATAAATAGAAAAAAAAATCCTAAAACCTCTGCATTGAAGAAACTCTGAGATATTTCATGATATTGAAAAGGCAAAGGACAAAATATTGGAACCTGATCCAAACTTAGAAAGGAGTATATCAATTTGTCAGAGCATAGAAGAGATCTTTGCTCTGCATTTTAAGTTATATAGCAAGAAAAAGGCAAGCACTCTTTAAAGTATTCTTCATGATGTTTCTAAAGGAAAAAATGAATGCTTTATGTATTAATACTTTAATGTTTTAAACAGCAAGGTAATAGTTTGATCTTTATAATATTTTCCATTTAGAGTTGACAGTAAGAGAGCAGTGTTTTGGCGAATGTTTAAAGATCATAGAAAAATTGTGATTTTGCCCATTGATTATTAATATTGCCTCACATAGTTTAAATTTGCACAATTATTTTTATAGCCCCACACAGACTTGCAAACCAAGGATCGCCTGAATATGTATAAACACACACACAAACACCTGCATGGAAGAAAGCGCGTGGTCTATAATGGGTATGTAACCTCAGCAAGGGGTGGGAACAGTATACTGTGCTAGATGAATGGGGGTTTTATACCCCGAAAAGTCTCTGTGCCAGTGTTGCTTCTTTTCACTTGCTGATCCTACACCAGTAATTTAATTTCTATGACCTTCCAATTTTCTCATCTGTAAAACTGGAATTGTAATACATACCATTTGGAGAAAAAACTGTTGAAAATACATGCTGGAATTCTTCCCAGGCTCTATGCATTAGAGGAAGAGTTCCTGGTTATTTATTTTTGTGGGAGTGTAAATGGGGGAAGGTAGGGAATGAAAGTCTTACCAGCCAAGGTCAGATTCTGGGGTATATCAAATGGAAACATTTTAAAAAACTAATTTTAGTATGTTCTTTCAGGAGTAGAAAATTCTGGTGTGGTTTCTTGCATTGTGGTAAAAATGAGAAACAATGTCTGCATTTTTAAGCACACTTGTGTAACTTTAAACCACAAGATTTTGTACAGCAATTTATAGAGTTGCAGAGGCAAATAAAAATAACATCAAGTGTCAGTATATACATTCACCAAAAATTTCACAACACAGAGGTTAATAAGTAAATTTTGTCCTCTAGACTATTTCATCTAAAGTCCAGAAGTTAAATTATAAATAATTTTACCTTGACGATATACTTGGTATCCTTATGAGGGGAATCCTGACAAATAAGTTAAAACTAAGGCAAAGATATACAAATGATTCCTGGGAATAAGACAGCATAATTGTAAGCCTTTGGAAGATCACTCAAAGAAATTATAGTATGTGGTTATTCAACTGTTTGTGTACTCCATTTGCAGAATTTTCACTGACTTTTCATGATACTTTCTGCTCAGAGGTGCAGGTGGGCTGACTCCATCGGTCTTGCTGACTGCCTGTTTGCTCATCACACTTCCGTTCTACCCTGTGCATCCTGAGGCTCCCCTCTCCCCCAGCTAGCTACCAGTTGGCTTCTGGTGGAAGCCCCAGGAACTGACAAAAGAGACTGGAAGGCATTGGAAAATGTTCATTCTGCTTTTTGTCTGGGGCGAAGTCTCCAGCAGCAGCAGCGGGATGGAGCAGCAATGATGTCATCACCTGCCAGGGTGACTGAGATGGTGGAAAATCCAGCCCCAGCCGAGAGGCGACCCTCTAGCACCTGCTGGAACTGTTCCCAAAGGTGCAGCAGGGGGAGCAGCCCGCTTCTCATCTTGGAATTTGACTCCCTCGCCCTTTGTGCTCCTCCTGTCCCCTTTTTTCTCAGCCCATTTAGACTCATTTTGACCAGTTCTTTGTGTGATTCCCTCTTTTCCCTTTATTTGAACTCCCAAGAGTTTTTCCCGTTTGGACACTGACTGGCACCCCTTCTGTGTAAAGTTCCCCATGCCTCATCAAGTATGGTTCAAAGTGGTGATTTTCTAATTCTATTCACCTTATGGTTATTAGCTGGAATTCTTTTGACTGGACTAACTTTGCCTCATCCACTAGAGCTTCTTGGTAAGTAAAAACAAAGCAAAGCAAACCAGTCTTCTGGCTAAACCAAAATCTGTTAGCCAGATGCATCTTGAAGGCCGTATTTCCAAACCTAGTCTACAGCAGAAAATGCATATTTCTCAGTATAGTACCTGATCTCATCATAGTCTAGTCTACCTTATTTCCTACCAGTCTTTCCTCCCCAACTCCAAACATCCATCTTCCAAAATTTATATTTAAAAAATCCAGAATGCTTCCTCTTGGCCTGTCTTCCCAAGCGATTCCACTTGCCAGGCTTGACCTTTCTCTTCTTGTCTATGAAGCATGGGCTACTCACACCTAGACTCTGCTCCATTATGATTTTCTCAAGAAAGTTCTTTTTGATATCTGCAGGTAGAGTTAAATACCTTCTCCTCCATATGCAATCAGGAGGAAGAATCAAGTCAAACTCACGTGCTGTTCTGAGAAATCTCAGTATTACTGAAAGTTAGTGAAATTCTGCAAATGAAATATACAATTAATTAACAAGGTACTATAATGTCTTTGAGTGATCTTCAAAAGACTTAGAATTATGCTGTCCTATGTTCTCATGCAGCCTTACTCATACCGCTGGGATTTCTTTCTTTTCTTTGCTGTGATTTCTTTCTTTCTTTCTTTCTTTTAAATAAGATGTATCACCCACTCGAACATAAGGATTGGTAAGGTTGGGTCCATTCCACAGCATCTTGCTTGATACATAATTTCATGTTAGTTCATCATTATGTGCTTTGCCTACTTGCAGCTGAAGGAAATTGTAACAAAAGTGGCAAAGTCACTACAGTGAACATTTTAGTAGACTTCTTTCAGATGCCATAGATTTCATGGAAAACAGACATTATAACAATTCTAGCATAAAGAATATGCATTGTAATAGATAACCTGCAAAGTTAGGGGAAATCGTAAGCTGTACTTCATCACAGGTTAGAAAAAACTACGGTTCTTTCTGCAAAGCCACACTCATTAAAATGAATGTGATTGCTAACAAAGTAATAATACAATTAGACAGAAAAAAAATAGGATCAAAAATGAAAGAATGGCCAATTTTAAAATATATCAGACAGTACTTACCTTTTTGTAATCAGGTTAACAACAGATTGTAAGTAATCTTTATTACTCTAAAAATGAGAAAAAGCATTTTACTATAAGTAAGCATGCCTCATAGTTTTATTAATACAATATTTTTTGCCACATATAAATGTAATTTACATGTGTAGTGCCACTATGTGCTAATAATTTCTGGTGTTTTTTGCTTTCTATAAAAATAATTTAAACTATCTATATGTTTAAAAAGATGTCTTAAATATGGAAAATATTTATTTATCTCCTCTGGCCACAGTATGAAATATTACTATACATTATTTACACTCAAAAATTAGTACACAAAATCTTATATATGTGTATCTAAAAATGTTTCACTCTAAAAATGGTTATTTAGGGATGGTTTATTTCAAAGAACTCCTTTTGAAAGCTACTCTTCATTTTGTGGATATTGTATGACAATAAGCTTACTTAATGATATCAGGCGGCGCCCATGGCTCAAAGGAGTAGGGTACTGGCCCCATATGCCAGGGTGGCGGGTTCAAACCCAGCCCCAGCCAAAAACTACAAAAAAAAAGATACCATATTTTTCTGGACAGTATTATTCAGCTTTTGATTTCCAATTTCTTTTCTTTCAATAAACTTTGTGGACTTGCTCTTCATTGCACAGTGTGCTAGATTATATCACAGACTCATTTGTAAAGAGCCTTTGATAGTTCATCTTGGTAAGTTTTTTTTTTTTTTTTTAGACCGAGTCTCAAGCTGTGGCCTGGAGAGAGTGTGTAGTATCATAGTTCACAGCAACCTCCAACTCTTGGGCTCAAGTGATCCTCTTGCCTCACTTATTTTATTTTTAGTGGAGATGGGGTCTCACTTTTATGCTCAGGCTGGTCTCAAACTCATAGATTAAGCAATCCACCCACCTCAGCCCCCAAGAGTGCTAGGATTACAGGTACCACACCTGGCCATTGGTATGATTTTTAAAAAGTAAATGGCGTTTACAAGATGGGCCCTTAGGGCCCATAAACATTTCCAATATAAAATTTTGAAACAATAGAACAAACACAGTTCTGTTGCCAAAGCTGAGCACTCTTTAAGGCAGCTCTGAATGTATATACTTAGATCCTTTGTTTAAAAATGTCAGACATGATATAGATAAGTTTATTATAGTACTTGAGGCTTTAATAAGTTGATTCACCAGCTGTTTGTCACACACCGAAACATATTATATTTTAAACATAGTACTAAATTTGTACTTCTTAGGTGCTCCATATTCCATTTTTAAATCCCCTCAGTATTTTTTTTTTTTTTTGAGACTAAGTTCCACTTTGTTGTCCTGGGTTGAGTACTGTGGCATCATTGCTCACAGCAACCTTAAACTCCTAGGCTCAAGTGATTCACTTCTCTCAGCCTTCCCAGTAGCTGGGACTATAAGTGCCTGCCACAATGCCTGGCTATTTTTTAGAGACGGGGGTCTTGCTCTTGCTCAGGCTGGTCTTGAACCCATGAGCTCAAGCAATCCACCTGCCTTGCCTTCCTAGAGTGCTAGGATTATAGGAATGAGCCACTCACTGTGCCCACCCCTTCCTCCCCAGTATTTTTATTATTAGTCTAAACATTTTAGGTAGATGCACTGTTCCAACAGCAGAAAAATAAAAATTATAATATGTAAAAATAAGAAAACATAACAAAACATTTTGGAAATTATGTGTATGCTTTCTTTTAATATAAGACATTAAGCTGGGATAGAATGTTTGCTCATTAATTTCTATTTTCCTAATAGTTCTTCTGTTGCTGGTTTAATGACTTAGAGTTTTTTCTGCATTAAAACAATAAGAATAAAGAAAGGATAACAAATATTCCATTAATTCTCAGTATTCATAAACAGCATAAATGTAAAATTATTTACATTTTGGAGATTGTCATGCCAAGTTTGCTCCTTCTCTTTTTACCTTCGTCCATTATCTGTCTGCACATCTTTTTCCCTCCTTCCCTTTCTTCCCTCTTTCTCATTTTACATAGATAATATTATGTTAAACACGATACGTTACAACATCTTTTCACTCAACATGATATAAGCATTATTTTACATCAGGGAGTCTAGATATTTATTTTTCTTACAGTGCTTCCAGAGTATTGCATTGTAGAGACACACAGAAAAGTATTTGATCAACTTCTTGTTGATAGATATTTTGGTTGTTTCTAATACTCTACTTTCACAAAGCAACAATGTACTGAAAATCCTTGAAATAATTATTTATTGAACACTTAACTCTGTGCCATGTATCATTCTAAGTACTTTAACTATATTAGCTAACTTTATCTGCAAACAACCCTATGACACAGGCAACATGATCATAATTTTACAGATAAGGAAAGTGAGACATAGAGAAGTTAAGTAATTCGCTCAAGTTTACAAGTCACAAGTAGAGAACCTGGCACGTGAACCTTGGTAAGTAGGATCCAATGTCTGTATTCTCAACCACAAAACTATATTGTCATATTTTAATTATTTTTAAACACTTGTCTGATTATCTTCTTAGGATAAGTTCCCAGAATGTGGATCTCTGAGATAAAGGATATATACCTTTTATATTTGACACATACTGCCAAATTCTTTTCCCAAAGTTCTTTTGGTGTTAATATTTACACAATATTTTGTAGTTTTAAGAGGTGCTATGAGCATAACAGAAATCTTCGGAGCCATCAGAAAGACCTAGATTTGAATCTACTCTATGAACTACTGGACAAGTTACTTTCTTTAGAACTTCTCTAGTTTCTTCATCTGCAAATTAGAATACTTATTTTACAGGGATATAACCCAGGTAACAAATGTCTATAAAAATAATCCTGATCCCTTAGATATAAGGAGTCCCTCAATTAATAGTAGTTATTATTACTTCATGTAAATTATCTCTTGATTCATATACCAACCTTTTATTGGGCTGGGCACATTTTATTACTATAGCATAAATTATATTTTTGTAATTTCTGTACCATATAGTAGGAAGGGACTGTATATAAAATGTAATTTAAATCAAACAATCTTAGATGCCCCCCTTTCAACCATTAGGTTTTCTTTTGAGATTTATATATTTATTCCTTCCCTGTGGTATCAAAAAAGTATTGAATATATTATCTGCTATCTAAAAAATAGGTATCTATGGGTTGCTTTTTTAAATTTAAGAAAAAGTTTCAAAATGGTTTGGTGATTACCAGTTAAGATGGGAATTTGAAGACCACAGGGTCATGGTAAGAGGAGCTTATTTTTTATACATACATCTGCAACAGAGACGATCACCACACAGTTCTTTTCTTCTGAAGGCGTCATCCTGGAGACAACAGAGGTCAGTGTTTGCTTCAGGTAAGTATAATTTCTTCTGTTAACAGTGGAAATACCCAGTGCAAAAGAAACTGCAGACATGGGAGTATGACATCGTCATTTCAAACCACAGAGAAAAGCGTAGCTCAGCATTAACTCTATGCTTAGTGCTATGTTGGAGTTAGTCTTATGTCATGAGACTCCACTACAAACACAATTCAGATTATTTTAATTTTTATCACATATATCATTCTCTGTTTGAAGAAATTCCAGTTTGCAGAGATTGTTAGTAAATGCATTAAATGGACTCCAAATAATAATTAAAATAAAAATGACTAAAAACAAACAAAGAAACAGGTTCCAAGATATTTCTATAACATCTTGGAAAGGGGTAAAGGGTAAAGGGTTTTGGTGTAGTGGAAATGAAACTAACCACTTTCCATTTATTACAGCTTTCATCTAACTGGGTAAAAAATGTCACATATTGGCTGATTCCGCTGCAACCCAAAGCACAAAAAAATGCTGCGAAGTATTTTCTTCTATTAAAAAAAGTATGAAGTAATTCTAAATAATTTAGTGGAATGCATCTATGCCCCAAACTGACTTATTGCCTAATTGTGCCTGGGTCACTGGGCAGTACAGACGCCATATTATCCTTGATGGATACCAGGATTTCATCAAGGAAGTCTGTCCAAACCGAGTCTTGCCTGTGTCAGCGCCTGGCTGGATGGGCTGAGCCCAGATGCGCTGCATCTCCTGCCTCAATTTCCCCTCCTTAAAAATGGGAATAAGGACTTTCAAAATGGCTGAATGACGAACTCAGAAAATCCTCTTCCTAAAAATCAATAATAAAACTGAAAAAAATTGTCAAAATAATCATTTTAGAGCCCTGGCATACAACAAAGTAGAAAATCTATTGACCTTCAATAACAGTAGGAATCAGTATTCCGCTTATTACTACTGAGTGTGAATATATTTTCATATGTTTATACTTTAGATGTATTGTCGTCTGTGAAATTTCTGTTAAAGCTCTTGCCCATTTCTCTATTGAGCTGCCTGCATTTTTCTTACTGATTGTTGACACTCTTCACATATTCTGCACATGAGCCCTTTGTCATGTATTTATGTGTTACAAAATTCATCTCCGCTCTGGGTTCCCTTTTCCATGTTTTCCCTCTTGATGAACAGAAATTCTTACTTTTAACGTAGTGAAATTTACCAATCATTTCCTTTCTAGTTCATGCTTTTTGCATCCTGCTGAGGAACATCTGCTTATCTTCAGTTCATGAAGATATTCTCCTGCGTTACCTTCTAGATGGCTTATTGCTTGCCCTCTGTATTGAGATCTATGATCCACTCCAAATTCATTTCTATGGAGGGTGTGAGGAAGGAATCAGGTTTCAAGCTGAGGGTCCACTATAAATGCAATTCCTGGAATGGCTTCCCAGGATTTAGGATAAAGAATGGATTGATAAGAGTTTCACAAGGCCCAGGGTGACCAGGTCCACTCTATCCCTTCTGTTTCAAAACCTCCTCTTCTCACAGCAACCAAATACCGTCTCTTACCTCCAAGCCTTTGCCATTCCTTTTTGCCTAGAATGCTCTTTTTTCTCTGGTCCCCTTTGCTAATTCTACTCATTCTTCAGAGTTCAACTAAATAGTCATTTTGACCACAAATTTACACTTAACCCTTTCTAACTAAGCTGAGTGAATCAGCTGCGTATTATGATGTGGTCTCTCACAGTATTCATCACCCCTTTTCTTGGCTAGAATGCCAGTTTGATGAGAACAAACTGCTTCTCTGTTACATTATAAATCCAGCATTAATATAAAGACTGGTACATAGTAATGCCAATAAGTTTGGGATGAGTGAACGAATGGCCAAGCCCCTTATTATTGGGCCTCTGGCCCTGGTCTTGCTATTGATAACTTCCCACCCCAATTGTGCATAAAAGCTATGCATTCTTTCTAAGCCTTCTTGCTGTTTGACCTTTACACCTTTCTTTTCCTCTCCCTGGATGTCCATCTCTACTTTTCCACTGTCCACCACCTAGCGCTTCCTTACTTAGCTTATTCCGATTCTTTTTCCCTTCATGTCACTTCCATGTCAGTCACTTCCTCCAGAGAGTGTTCCCCAATTCCCCTAGCAGAGGTTTCTGGCCCCTCCCTAGTATCGATATTTTGCTCAAGTCACTTTACAATTGCCATATCATTTGTCTCTCTTATGAGGGTGGGGTCCATGTTTTGTTCGTCATTATGTCCCCAGACCTAATAAATGTCTAGAACAGAGGAGAAGCTTATTAAATGAGGGGACATGAGAGACTTTACAAGGAAGCTGCGTAAGGAAGTCACATGACAATCTGTTGTGTGTTGACAGGAGGTGGTGTGGTCATTATAGGCAGTGATCAACACATGAAAAACATACGGAGATCTCAAAGACCTTGGCCTATTTGTGAAAACTGCAAGTGATTTGGGGTTGCTGGAAAGGAGTAGCAGAAATTGAGATCTGAAAGATCTAACTTACTGTGCATACACCCTGTCAAGGAGCTAACATCATCCTGTGTGCACTGGGGATCTATTTTAAGAGTCAAACATATCAGTTATGAATTTTAGTAACATATCTCTGAGGAAAATATGAAGAATGGATTAGCTTAGTAAGACTAAAACCAAGAGGAAAATTGTAAGTCTGTTTCCATAGCCCAGGCAAGAACTAATGAGGGGCATAGTCAAAAATAGTTATAAGAAGCTACAGAGAGCAGAAATCATCTGAGATATATTCAGAATATGGAACAAATAAGACTAATGATGGATTCCTCAGGAGGCCGTGCCAAGGGCAGTGACACTTCTGCGTATATTCTATGTGTTAGATCTTTTACTTGCCAGGAACAAAACCTCCCTTCAGTTGCCTCTGGTGATTGAGAAAAGCTGTCATAGGGGCCTCAAAAGAAGAATACTATAAATTTAATTGCACATGAGCTTTATGGACACCCTGTATAGGCATCATGGCTGGAGAACAGGGTATATTTGGGGAATTACAAGATTATTCAGGATTGAACACTGCTCTGACCACTGGGTGATGTCAACACTCCCCTGCACGAGGAGTGCTATTGCTCCGCCAGCCAGCACTGTTGCTCTCCCACCTTCCTTTTGCTCTACTGATGGGGCTTCTGCTTATAGTTCCTGATGCTTAATCAAGACCATACTTATTCTTGGCATCTCATTTCTTATCGTTTCTATGCATTTTTTTCTGTGTCCTTCAACTTTTCCTCCTATAAACCATAGCTTTCGTCTAGCCTGCTCATTATACTCATTTTTACACACATGTATGTGCATATTTATGTACCTCTAAGTATGCTACATTCCTCCTGAGGGGAAATGTGATGTAAATTTTATAAGTGTGAATTTAAAAGGTTCCTTAATCTCTCTATTTCCTCAAGTATAAAATAGAGATGATAAAAGTAGGCCATGCTGCATTGGGTTATGATGACTGAATGAGACAATGAAAGAAAATATAGAGCTCAGTGAGTGGAGCACAGTAGGGATTCAGTAGATGTTAGGCAATGTCATCTGGCGTCGCCACCTAATACATAGTTTGGGATGATATGTCAGAGATACGTGATACAGAACGCTACCTGTTCCCAAGGAACTCCCTAGAGCAGGAGTTAGCAAACACTTTTCATAAAGGACCAAATAATAAATAGTTTTGCCTCGTGGGCCACACCATCTCTGCAACTACTCGACTCTGCCATTGTAGCACAAAGGCAAATAAAGACAATAAGTAAATAAATAAGCATGGCTATGTTTCAACAAGATTGTATGTAGACACAGACCCTGGGCCTGACCTACAGTGACTCACTGGAGGGAATGTGGCTTATGGGAATGGCAGGTATTCTGAAACTTAACCTTTTCTGTGAACATTTGCTGAACTTGGTCCCCAGAAAAATGGGGAAATAGGAAGATAACCAGGAAAGAATAGATTTATTAAAATCAAAGAGAGTGCCAAGTCTTTAGCAGAAGCTTAGTGTATATCTGATGTTATACTGACTTATTTTCAAAACGTTTGTATTAAAACTGAATCTGAATGCCAGACAATAATATGCTAACTCCTGGTAACCCAAATTAATGCCACATAAGCTGGTAGTCCACATACCTGAGCATGACATTAATGGATTACATCTTAAAACTTAAAAAACATGTCCCCAAAGATCAAAATATCTATATATACTTTTCCAATTCAAAGTTTTCTTACCACCTGTTTTCCCTTTGCTTACAACTACATCAGGATAAATTCTGCCTTCTTTCTTTAGATGAGGAAAAAAGAACTTGAATTCTTCAAATATATTAGATACTGCTTCATTTTTACTCGATGTACCTATTGTCTTCTCAACTGAAAAAGAGAAAAAATAGTTCTTCTAAGGTTAAAAACTTAGACATTTTTTCTCCTCTCAGAATAATTTTCCTTAAATGGGGGTTAATAAATTAATTGACCAGTTAACTAGTATTCAGTATATAAAAGTAATACTCTGAAATATGAATAACCAGAATCACAATGCTATAAAATATAGCCCAAATATTACCGACTCATATTTATTTTAAAAGTAATCTTTAAGCCTAGCATTGTGAATTCCACAACCAGAGGACAATAGAAGTGTTGGTTCCAAATGAAGGCAGCATAACTGAAGCCTGCTATAATTGGTTTCCTCTGCTGTATTGATTAATGTTGCATCATTAAAGTTTGTATATTTGCTTGTTTTGCAGTCTCTTAACATTTAATGATCGTATCTGTACCATCCACTAGAATTTGCTTCTATGATTTTGAAAAAGAAAAATAAAGTTGAAGGAGTCACATTACCCAGTCTTACTTCATAATACATGATGCAGTAATCAAAACAGTGTAGTATTACATAAAATATAAATACAGAGACCAATGGAACAGGCTATGGGATACAGAAGTAAATTCACACAAATACAGTTTATTGATTTGAAAAGTGAAGTGCAAAAACAATCAAATGCGGAAAAGATAATTGATAAATGGAGCTGGAACATGTGGACATTCGTGTGAAAAAAATTTGAAATGACCTAAACGTCACACTGTAAAAAATAACTGAAAATTTCATAGATGTAAATGTAAAACATAAAACTATGAAATTTTTAAAAACATAAATGCAAACCTTCATGATTCTGAGTTAAAGAGTCTTAGATAACAATACATAAAATATAAGTTGAACTTCATCAAAAATTAAAAATATTTCTCCCCTGCAGAAGCTCATAAAGAAAATGAAAAGACAAGCCACAGACTGGAGCAAAATATTTCCATATCATTTATCTATCTGATATACACCCAGGATTATATACAGAACCATCAAAACTCAACAAGAAAATAAACCAAACTTAAAAAAACAGGCAGACAATTTGAACAGAACTTTTACCAAAGAAGATATCTGGGTGGCAAATAACCACATAAAGTGTTTCAACATCATTAGTCACTAAAGAAATGCAACTTGAAACTATGAGACAGCTTGGCATTAAAATGCATAATAAACTAGAGTGACTAGAACTCTCTGCATTGCTGCAGGGAATGGATAGTGGCAGAGCCACACAGGAAAACAGTTTGGCATTTTCTTATAAAGTTAAACATACACTTACCAGACACTCTATCCATCCTACTTCTATGTATTAATCCTAAAATAATGAAACCTTCTCTTCATACAAAAAACATGTACATGAATGCTTATAGCAACAATTATTTGCAATTGCCAAGATCTGAAAAGGAGCCAAATGTTGCTCAATCGCTCAGAGGATAAACAAACTATATCCTTTGTAAATCTACACAGTGAAATACCTGAAATACCACTCAGCATGAAAAAGGAAACAAGCAGTTGGTCGTACAACTTGGATGAGTCTTTTCTAAGTGATGGAAGCCAGCCTTAAAGGGGTTACATGTTGCCTAATTCCTTTTGTATGGTATTAGGGAAAAGGCAGACCTGTAGGAATAGAGAAATGGTCAGTGGTTGCCAAGGGTTATGAGTACAGAGAGATTTGAGTACAAATGGAAGCCCAAGGCAGGACTTTTTCTCCTGGAGACAATGGGAAGCCACGGAAGGTTTATATATAGAACAATGTAGCTTTTACTTTGGCTACACCAGGAATAAATCAGCGAGAACAAGACTGGAGAGAAGAGGGAAAAGTTAGGAGTATGTTACCATTCATT